CGTGGCCCCGGGCTCAGCGCCCCCACCGCGCCTCAGCGTCTGGCCACGCCCCCCCACCTGAGCTTCCCCTTCCACCTCCCCCGCCACCCTCCAGGGCAGCTGGGGGTGTCCCGCCCTCCAGCCTCACAGCCCGGTCCCCGCCCTGTGCCCAGCGGTCCCGTGTCGCTCGGAAAAGCCTCCCGGCGGTTTCCCGGCTCCTCTCAGGTGGGAGAGCCGCTCTTTGTTACCCAGTGTGCCCAGGGCCGAGGCCCCCAGGCCCCTCTGCCCCCTCGCCCCAGGTCTGTGGTCCAGGAGGACAGGCAGCGCTCCGCTCTCAGTGGCACCACGCCCGCTGGACGGGGGGCACCTGAGCTCACGCCGGGGCAGCAGGGCGGTCCTCGCCAGTGCTGCCCAGTGGTTAGTGTCGGCCTGCAGACTGCAGCGTCCTGGGCTCCATTCCGGTCGGGGCACAGGCCTCGTTCCCAGCTTGACCCCCAGGAGGGGGCGTGCAAGAGGCAGCCGACCCATGGTTCTCATCATGGCTGTTTATCTCTCTCCTCTCCCTTCCTCTCTCGAGAATCAGTAAAAATATATTTTTTTAAAAACTAAGGCCCCAGGGCTGAAGGGCACAGGACGGATGCTGGCCACAGCCCTAGACTCCCCCGGGCCCGGTCTCTGTGTGACCCCGTGGGGCCGGGCGAGGGGCCTCGGAGTGGGTGTGAGCGTGGGTGTGCCAGGTCGGGTCGGAGGGGTCTGAGTGGGGACGTGCCGGTCAGAGCAGGTGTGAGCATGGGTGTGCTGGTCGGAGTGGGTCTGGTGTGGGCATGTGGGTTGGAGCGGGTGTGAGCGTGGGCGTGAGGGTAGGGTGGATGTGAGCGTGGGCGTGCCGGTCGGGTGGATGTGCCCGTCGGGTGAGTGTGAGCGTGGGTGTGCCGGGTCAGGTCGGAGGGGTCTGGGTGTGGACGTGCCGGGGCCGGGCACCCACCTTGGCGTTGCTCTCGGGCACCAGGCAGGGCAGCCCGCGGTGCCGGTCCAGGAAGGCCTGGAACTGCTCCTCGCTGATGACGAAGCGCTCGGCCTCGCGCAGGGCGCTGGCCCCCACGTTCTCCCCCTCGATGAGGAGGCACTGGAACACCTGCAACACGCGTGTGCTTGGCGGGCGCCTCCCGTCGGGGCCACCCGAATCGGCCCCGCCCCGGCTACCTCTCCCCAGAGCGGAGTTCACCCCTCAGACCGAGGAACATTCTAGAAAGTCATGGCTGGGGGTCCCGGAGCTCGCCCTGGGGTTAGGGAGCACGGATGTTCCCAAGAGGCAGGCACAGACATGACGGGCCTTGGTGACATTGATCTGGTTTCATCACCTCAGTCTTCCGACTACAGAATAGCGAATGTCCTGGAAGGAAGTATGGGCCCTGCGAACACATACATGACCTGTGTTTGCGTGCCAAAGCCCGGGTTGCGGGCTCCATCCCCAGTGTGGGGCATGCAGGAGGCAGCCGATCCATGATTCTCTCTCATCATGGATGTTTCTATCTCTCTCTCCCTCCTTTCCTCTCTGACATCAATCCTATATAATAAAAGCATAATATGCAAATCGACCAAACAGCTGAATGAACGGTGGAGCAACCGGTTGCTATGATGTGCACTGACCACCAGGGGGCAGATGCTCAAAGTAAGAGCTGCCCCTAGCCGTAGGCCCCAGGACAGCCACGGCAGGTGCCAGTGCCCCCGCACCCCATCACCTCACCGGTCAGATGAGCTCTGATGGCCAGCCAGGCCAAGGCACCTTTCCCATGCATGAATTTCGTGTACCTGGCCTCTAGTAAAAACATACTTTTTTTTTTTTAAAAGAAGGACCTGGCTCTGTCTGACTCTGGGGCTCAGAGCTGCAGGCTCAGCATCTCCACTCCCCAAAGCCGGTCCCGCCAGCGCGGCGCAGCATGGCGTGGCCGTGGCCGTGGCCGTGGCCGTGGGCGGAGCGCAGACTCACCTTCCAGCGCACGGGGTTCAGCTCCTGGATGTGGGCGCGCATGTCCTCGTCCACGTTGAAGCGGTTGATGACGGAGTTGACCTTGAAGGCCACGCGGTACTGCCGGCACCAGCGCCGCAGCCGCCGCAGGTTCTCCACGTGGTTGAGCCGGCCCTGGCCGCGGCCGATGAGCGCGTTCACCTCCTCGTTGAAGCTGTCGCAGGAGACGGCGAGGATGTCCAGGTGCTGGCCTGCGGGGAGGGCGAGGCTCAGACCGCAGGAGGCCACCTCCCCGGGAGGGCACGCACCCGCCTTACACGCCCCGTCACCGTGTAAACGCCGTGTGCCCCGCCCCACAGCTCCCGCGGAGACACGTGTGCATCCTGTGAAATAATCTTAGGAAAGGAGCCGCCTCACAGGACGCCAGCAATGTTTACAAGCCCGTGTGTGTGTGTGTGTGTGTGAGCTCCTACCCGCACGTCCTCCAGGGCCTCACTCACTCCTGAGGGCGTTGGTGTGCTGGAGCTCTGCAGACCTACATCTTTTTACACACACACACACACACACACACGTGCACACACGCCCACACGCCCACATACATGTACACACGTGTGTGTTTGCACATACTTACACAGCACACACATGTATACTCTCTCACATATATGTACACACATGTGTGCACGTGCTCACATGTACACACTGTCGCACACGTGCACACATGTACACACTCTCTCACACACGCACGCACACGCTCACACACACACTAGAGTCTGGTGCACGAAATTCATGCAAGGGGCTCGGCCCTCACAGCCCCGGTTTTGTCCAAAAGGTCATCTGGAAGCTCGTTCGGCTGTCTGGCCTAATTAGCATATTGCCTTTTCGTGTGTGTGTGTGTGTGTGTGTGCGTGTGTGTGTGTGCGTGTGCATGTGCGTGTGTGTGTGTGTGTGTGTGTGTGGTCGATTTCAGCGGGGAAGGAGGGGGGCACCCGGGCGGGGCGCACGCTGAGCCGGACCCTAGGGCGGCTGCTTACTTTCCAGGAGACTGGACGCTGGTAACAGATGAGCAGAGCGGTGGGGCCTGCCTGCCAGTGGGGAAGCCGGAGCCCAGGCCGCTCTCCCCCCCGCAGGCCGGCCGCCGAGGGCTGCGCACACACACCGTCATCTGCCCCGCACGTGTGTACGGGAGCCCTGCGGACTCACACGCCGCTCCCCCACCCGCAGCTGTGCGGAGATCAGAACACGCCTGCGTGGTCCCCTCCCGCCCGCAGGCCTGGCCCGGGAGGGAGGGACGGAGGGATGGAGGGAGGGAGGGAGGGAGGGAGGGAGGGACGGAGGGACGGAGGGAGGGACGGAGGGACGGAGGGAGGGACGGAGGGACGGAGGGACGGAGGGTCGGAGGGACGGAGGGAGGGATGGAGGGACAGAGGGACGGAGGGACAGAGGGACAGACGGAGGGACGGAGGGAGGGACGGAGGGACGGAGGGACAGAGGGAGGGATGGAGGGACGGAGGGACGGAGGGAGGGATGGAGGGACAGAGGGACGGAGGGACAGAGGGACAGACGGAGGGACGGAGGGAGGGAGGGAGGGAGGGAGGGACGGTGGGACGGATGGAGGGACGGAGGGACGGAGGGAGGGACGGAGGGACGGAGGGACGGAGGGACAGAGGGAGGGACGGAGGGAGGGATGGAGGGACAGAGGGACGGAGGGATGGAGGGAGGGACGGACGAACGGAGGGACGGAGGGAGGGACGGAGGGACGGAGGGACAGAGGGACGGTGGGAGGGACGGAGGGACGGAGGGACGGACGGAGGGCAAGAGGGCGAGAGGGCGGGAGGAAGAGACGCAGGCGCTCACCGTACTCCTTGAACCAGCGCTCCCGGATGAGGCTGCCGTTGCTGACGATGCTCACGCTGGGCAGGCCCAGCTCCTCCTTGCAGAACCGCACCAGGCGGCCCAGGTACTCGCCGCGGTCCTTCAGGAACGGCTCCCCGCCCGAGAAGTTCACCTTCTCCATGCCTGGGGCCGAGCGCCGGTGAGAGAGCCGACCTGCTGCCCCCGCACGGCCCTGCCCCCGCACGCCCCCGCACCCGCACGGCCCCGCACACCCCCGCACGCCCCCGCACGGCCCCCACATCCGCACGGCCCCGCACGGCCCCGCACACCCCCCGCATCCGCACGGCCCCGCACCCGCACGGCCCCGCACACCCGCACGGCCCCGCACGGCCCCGCACACCCGCACGGCCCCGCACGGCCCCGCACACACCCCGCACGGCCCCCGCATCCGCACGGCCCCGCACGGCCCCGCACACCCCCGCACGGCCCCCGCATCCGCACGGCCCCGCACGGCCCGCACGCCCCCCCGCACGGCCCCCGCACGGCCCCCGCATCCGCACGGCCCCGCACACCCCCGCACGCCCCCGCACGCCCCCCGCATCCGCACGGCCCCGCACGGCCCGCACGCCCCCCCGCACGGCCCCTCACGCCCCCGCACCCGCACACCCCCGCACGGCCCCCGCATCCGCACGGCCCCGCACCCGCACGGCCCCGCACGCCCCCGCACGCCCCCGCACAGCCCCCCCACGCCCCCCGCACGCCCCCCACTGGGACAGAGCCCTAGACCCAGACACAGGCCCAACCAGGATTGAACCCGGACTCCAGCCCACAGGCCGGTGCTGAGCCTCCTGAGCCACACCAGCCAGGGCCAAGGCACATTCCCCCCGTTTCTCCGGCACAGACAGCCATCATCACCTCAGAGTCTTCCTTTCTCCGCCGGGCAGCCCTGGGCATGCCGCTCCGCCCACTCTCCCCCCGACCCACAGGACTCCCCCGGGCCTGCGTGTCCTGTCCCCAAGGGGCTTTACACAGAGGGTGCCCCGACCTTGCCCGGAACAGTCCCGGGAGGCACCCCGAATCCCAGCTGGTGTCCCTCCTGGGCCCTCTGCTCTCAGGGGCGCTGTGATTGGCCAGCTCGTCGCCATGGACGAGCTCACAGGCTGGGGGGCTCCAGGCGGACACCCTCCCCCGGGAGTCTGGGTGAACAGGCAGGTAACCCCCCGCCCGTGCGCCCCCAGCCCCTGCGCCCCCAGCCCGTGCGCCCCCCGCCCCTGCGCCCCCCGCCCGTGCGCCCCCCAGCCCGTGCGCCCCCAGCCCCTGCGCCCCCCGCACCTGCGCCCCCCGCCCCTGCGCCCCCCACCCGTGCGCCCCCAGCCCCTGCGCCCCCCGCCCCTGCGCCCCCCGCCCCTGCGCCCCCCACCCGTGCGCCCCCAGCCCCTGCGCCCCCCGCCCCTGCGCCCCCCGCCCCTGCGCCCCCAGCCCCCCGCCCGTGCGCCCCCGCCCCTGCGCCCCCCGCCTGTGCCCCCAGCCTCTGCGCCCCCCGCCCCTGCGCCCCCGCCCCTGCGCCCCCTGCCTGTGCCCGGGGCGGAGCCGATGCCCGGGGGACTCACCGGCCTCCTTGAGCAGCCGCAGCCCCCGCTGGGCCTCCTCCAGGGGCAGCACGAAGGAGGTCTTGGCCGTGTGGAAGCAGAAGCCGCACTTGTAGTTGCACTGGCGCGTGAAGTGGTAGTTGACGCTGGTGGGCGTGAGGGGCCGGTCCTGATCCTCCTCCTCCTCCTCCTCCTCCTCCTCCCCGGCCCCCTGGGGTCCCGGACGCCCCTCCGGCAGCCCCCGGCCCCCCTGGGCCCCCGCCGGCCGCAGCGCCGCCCAGAGCCCCAGGAGCAGGGGCGCCAGGAGGCTCCACAGGGCGCCCAGCAGCCTCCCGGGCACCGCCAGGGCAGCCAGCGTCCACATGGCTAGCCGGTGGCCAGCCGCTCCCGCGCTTATATGTGTGCAAACACCGGCCGGCGGACACACCCCTGAGCCCGGCGGCTGAGTTTCGGTTCTCTCTTCCCCGAGGAGCTGGCGCGGGGCCAGGCGAGCAGCCTGCCGCTGTGCTGCCTGCACCGGTGCCATCGCCATGGACACGGGCGGCCCCGCTGTCCCCGCTGACTCACCCCCATCACCGAGGGCCCACCGTCACCTTCACCGTCCTCACCGGCGGGGAGGGTCCCTGCGAAAGGTATGACGGCCGCCCTGCCCGTGGCCGCTGACCGCATCCGCCTGTGACCCTTCCCGGCCCCGGACGCCCTCACCGGCCCAGTGACCCCCTCACTCCCCCGTGATCCCCTCACTCCCCCATGACCCCCTCACCCGCCCCATGACCCCCTCACTCCCCCATGATCCCCTCACCGGCCCTGTGACCCCCTCACCGGCCCTGTGACCCCCTCACTCCCCCGTGACCCCCTCACTCCCCTGTGACCCCCTCACCCGCCCGTGACCCCCTCCCCGGCCCCGTGACCCCCTCACTCCCCCGTGACCCCCTCACTCCCCACTGACCCCCTCACCCGCCCCGTGACTCCCTCACTCCCCAGTGACCCCCTCACCCGCCCTGTGACACCCTCACTCCCCAGTGACCCCCTCACCCCCCGTGACCCCCTCACTCCCCCGTGACCCCCTCACCCGCCCTGTGACCCCCTCACTCCCCCTGTGACCCCCTCACCCGCCCCGTGACCCCCTCACCCGCCCCGTGACCCCCTCTTTCCCCCTGTGACCCCCTCACCCGCCCCGTGACCCCCTCACTCCCCCGTGACCCCCTCACTCCCCGTGACCCCCTCACCCACCCTGTGACCCCCTCACTGGCCCTGTGACCCTCTCACTCCCCTGTGACCCCCTCACCCCCCGTAACCCCCTCACTCCCCCATGACCCCCTCACCCGCCCTGTGACCCCCTCACTTGCCCCGTGACCCTCTCCCTCCCCCGTGACCCCCTCACCCGCCCCGTGACCCCCTCACCGGCCCTGTGACCCTCTCACTCTCCTGTGACCCCCTCACCCCCCGTGACCCCCTCACTCCCCTGTGACCCCCTCACCCGCCCGTGACCCCCTCACCCGCCCTGTGACCCCCTCACCCGCCCTGTGACCCCCTCACTTGCCCCGTGACCCTCTCCCTCCCCCGTGACCCCCTCACCCGCCCCGTGACCCCCTCACCCGCCCCGTGACCCCCTCACCTGCCCCGTGACCCCCTTACCTGTCCCGTGACCCCCTCACCCGCCCTGTGACCCCCTCACTCGCCCCGTGACCCCCTCACCCGCCCCGTGACCCTCTCAGACCACAGCCATGGTGACCGCCCAGGCTGTCCCTTCGCTCCACGTTCGCAGTGCTAATCTTTAATGTGTTTGTACTGATCGCAGAGTGGGGAGAGGGAGAGAGAGACATCGATGGTGAGAGGGGATCATGGACCGGCTGCCTCCTGCACTCCCCACAGTGGGGGTGGAGCCCACAGCCCGGGCCTGTGCACTGACTGGGCATCGAACCCGGGACCTTTCTGTCCACAGGCTGACGCTCTGTCCACTGAGCCACATGGGCCAGGCACCAGGCAGTCTCTCGGCTGCTTCTTTCTGGCAGGAAGGGGCGGGCCGTGGCTGGTCACCGTTTTCTTAGGGAGCACGGGGAGGCTGGGCCGTGTTCTCTGCCTCTGTGGTGAGCTCTGTGCGGCGTGGGCTCAGCACCCTGGTCCCCGCGGGAGCCCCGAGGCTCTGGGTCCCATCCATCGCCCTGGACCTCCCTTCGGCTGCAAACACCTGAGCTGTTACAGCCCCAGACCGAGGGCTTTGCATGTGTGGGAACTGCTGAGGCTGAGCCTGCGTGAGGTGGGGGGCCGGGGGGGGAGGGGGAGAGGGGGAGGAGGAGGCTGGGGAGCCGGGGGGGAGGGGGGGCCATGGCTGTTGCAGAGAGTCCATCCTGTCAGGAAGGAAACGGAGACTGAGTGTGCCGGAAAGTGGAACTGAAACCCCGAGGGCGACAGGAGGGGCTGTGTGCTGACTGCTGATGCAACCTGACTGAGCGCGCTCACACACGCACACACACACACACCCCCCGTCCGGCTCAGACCAGACGTCTGTTTGTGGTTTTTAGATCACATGTGTAGGAGGAAACGAAAACAAATCTGTTTACTCTTCCCACCACGTCCCGAGGGCAGGGCGGTGACCTCGCACGGTTGGAGGTGTGGCTGCGCTCAGCAGCTGTTCACTCCGAGATAACGTTCTCCGCCCGCGAGCTCCCGGTGACTCGGCGTCCGTCTCGGCAGGGGCATTGGAAGGTGGCAGGACGTAATGCCTCTCTTTCTAAAAATGTTTTATGGTTCCGGAGAGGAGAGAGACATCAGTGATGAGACACGGACTGGCTGCGTCTGGCACGCCCGCCCTGCACTGGGATGGAGCCCACCCGGGCCTGTGCCCTGACCGGGATCCATCCGGGGCCGCCTGGCTCCTGGGTTGACGCCGCCCTCAGCCCCGCGGGCTGGCTGGTGTGACGTGGGCACAGTAGCCGCCCCTGAGCGCTGCCCCTGAGCGCCGGCCCACGGCTGCCCTCCCCCCGCACCGAGCTCACACCCGGGGAAGCTTGTGAGCCAGGGCGTCGGGATGGAGCTAGGATTTCAAACGCGCCACCCTGCTCAGCCCGATCGTGCCATCACACTCTCCAGGTTACTTCTCAGGTGTGGTCCAGGCTCCGGTCTCATGTTCATTCGTTCGTTCCCTCACTGCTCCCTCACTCACGCATTCCCACCTTCCCTTCCTCTCTTCTTCCATCAGCGGTGGCCACCGGCAGCTCCCGTGTGTCACATAAAGATTAATACCCGGCCCGGCCGCTGGCTCAGGGGCTGAGTGCCGGCCTAGGAACCAGGAGGCCAGGGTTCGATTCCCGGCCAGGGCCCAGGCCCGGGCTGTGGGCTGGATCCCCAGGGAGGGGCGGGCGGGACGCAGCCGGTCCGTGATTCTCTCTCATCGCGGATGCTTCTCTCTCCCCGTCTGTTCCTCTCCCTTCCTCTCTGACATCGGTAAAGACACGTTTTTAAACATGTGAACACACGTGTGATCAGGCGGTCAGAGTCCCTCCTGCAGGGGCTCCCAGCAGCCGCAGTGGCTGCGGCGCCTTTGAACCGGCGTCTTCTCCCTGATCCGTCCTCACCGCGGAGTGAGGCCCGGCAGCGGCCCCTCTCCCTCCCAGTCGGGGCTCCTCGGGGCGGCCGGCTCCCGGCATCCACGCCGCTGGGCCCGGCAGAGGCCCCCCGGCAGAGGTCACCTGGCAGAGGTCACCGCCGGCAGCGGTCCCCCGGCAGAGGTCCCGCCGGCAGAGGTCACCGCCGGCAGAGGTCACCCGGCAGAGGTCACCGCCGGCAGAGGCCCCCCCGGCAGAGGTCCCCGCCGAGTTCCGAGCCCAAGCTGCCGCTCGGCACGCCCACATTCCCGGCGCCCGGGCCTGAGCGGCGCCCGGGGCTTTGTTCACGGCGGGCTGCGGTGCGTGAGGAGGCGTGCCTGGGCGCGCAGAGGCACACGGAGTCACGGATGTGCACACAGCGAACTCCGACAGAGGGACGGCTTTTTACTCCGACCGTGACCTCCCCACGACCTTCTCCGGGCCCAGGGCCTCCCTCCGCCACCGGGATGACCCTGTCCTGTTTCCTCCAGCCCTGGGTCTGCCTGCTCTGCTCATTCATCTGTTATTATCACTAACTATTCCTCGATGCTCCCTCCGCTGGCTTTCAGGAAGAGTGGGAGGGAGGGAAGGAAAGAGGGAGAGGTGGAGAGGGGGAGGGGAGGACACATGGATGTGAGAGAGACACACCCATTGGATGCCTCCCCCATCCCCATCCCACCAAGGTCCAACGGCAGCCGAGACCGTGCCCGTGCCGGGAATTTTTTCATGTATTTAATGACATTTTTATTTTAGAGACGAATCGCTGCTTGTGAAAAACATAGTTGAGTAAAGCTTTTCAGTGCCGGGCGTTTTGTAATCTGTATAATGTAGCTTTCAGATCAGAGTTCCTTTTCTTACTGCTCTGTGCCATCGCCCTGCTGCGTAAGGGTATGGTGTCTACTGTGCGGCCTGTACATTATTGTTTCTGTTAGTGGTTCTCCTTCCCGAGTGAGGGCGTGGCGCCTTCCGTGTTCCACACCAGGCCACCCTGACGGGCTCAGACACGGCCTGTCATGACCTCCCGTGTCCCGTGGGGAGGAGTGGGTGGAAACGGAGAGAAAGCCGGAATTAAGAACAGGTGAGGGAGGTGCAGGGGGCGTGGAAGAGTCCAGAAAGGCTCCCAGGAGGACGCAGGACCCAGGGGAGCCGGGCTGGCGTGGCTCAGTGGCTGATCACCGACCTATGACCCAGGAGGCCGCCACTCAATTCCAGGGCAGGTTCAATCCCCAGTGGGGGGCGTGCAGGAGGCAGCCCATCAGTGATTCTCTGTCATCACTGATGTTTCCCTCTCTCCCCCCTTCCTCGCTGAAATCAATAAAACTATTTTAAAAAGCGCTCAGCTGTGTGACTCAGCAAGTTTCCTTTCTCATCGAACATCCTCCCCACGAAGGCTCAGCTGTTCTCACTTCATCTTCGGTTTTGCACCTCGATCTCAATGCCAAAGGTCCCGGAGTTTCCCCAGGGAATCTTTTTTCCTGGTAAGCCAGATTCTTTGTGAAGGTCAGGAAGGAAAACACCCAAGTCATCCTGAGAGGAGGCAGCGATGGGTTCCTCTTCCCACCCCAAAGCACCCCGTGGGTCCCAGTGGCAGGTCCTGGGCCCGGGGCTGGTGTGTGCCGGCTGCTTGTTTATTTTTAACTTTATTGTTGGAAGTGTCACATAGGTCCTCCTTCTCCGCCCCCACCGCTGACCTCGCCCAGCTCCTGTCCCCACCCCACCCCACCCTTCCCCCCATTGTCTGTGTCCACGGTGCAGGCACAGTCCATGGTGACCCCCCTTCCCTGGGGCCGCAGTGGGACAGGCCTCGGAGGAGGGGCCGCTAGGAAAGCGCCGAGGCCTGGCAACTCCGGGCGGGCCTGGGCCTGCGCCAGGGCGGAGGGGGGGGGGGGGTCAGGGCGGGGAGTCCGGTCCGGAAACGGCTGCAGGCCCTGCAGGTCCCTGGGGTGAGGCGTCCGCAGGGCCTGTGCGGACAGACAGACAGACAGACGCCCTGGGGCCGCCTGCGCTGGGAGCTCCGCGCGGGCGCGGTGCCGCCCGGCGCCGCCAGGGGAACCCGCGCGCGGGAGGCGGGTCCGAGGTCCGGGGGGAGCGCGGGAGGCGGGTCCGAGGTCCGGGGGGAGCGGGGGAGGCGGGTCCGAGGTCCGGGGGGAGCGGGGAGCGGCCTCCCCCCACCCGCCTGCTGGCACGCACCCGCCCGGCCCCCGCCCCCCGCTTCGCTTTCGGTTTCCCGGCGGCGCCCGGCCGCGCCCCGTCCCGCGGGGACCGCGCGGAGCCGCCCATGGCCCCGGCCGGCCGCCTGCTCGCGCTCCTGGCCCGGCCGCTGCGCCCGGCGGCCATGGCGCAGCCCCGCTGCTTCGCGCTGGAGCTCCCGGGCGGCGGCCTGGCGCACTTCGCGGTGGGCGCCGCGGGCTCCGGGGGCGCCGACCCCGACCCCGACCCCGACCCGCGCGCCGCCGCGCTCCTGGGCCCGCCGGGCCGCAGCTACGCGCTGCTGGTGCCGGGGGCGCCGGGCGCGGACCTCGCCGCCCGCGTGCGCGCCGCGCGGCTGCTGCGCCGCCTGCTCCCCGCGCTGCGCCGCGGGCCCCTGGGGCGCTGCGAGCGGCTGCGGCTGCTGGGCTACCGGCCGGGCGGCGGCGGCGGCCTGCAGCGGGGCCTGCTGCTCCGCGACCCCGGCGCCGGCCCCGCCACGCGGCGCGCGCTGCTGGCGCTGCTGGACTCGTGCCTGGAGGCGCCGCGCCCCAGCCTCGGCGAGTTCGGGGGCGAGTTCGGGGGCGCGGGCCTGCGGCTGTGGCAGCGCCCGTGGGAGCTGCGCGGCGGCCGCGAGTGGCGGCAGGCGGAGCCCGAGCGCGTGGTGGCCGCCCCGGAGCCCGCGCTGCACCCGGCGGTGCCCGACCTGCCCCGCGCGGCCGTCTTCCCGCACCGCGAGGCCGCGCGCGCCGTGCTGGAGGCGGTGAGTGGCGGGCCCGGGGCCGAGGAGCGGGGGGACAGGGAGGGGACGGGGCTGCCCGCAGGGCCCGGCTCTGCCCAGACCCCCGGCCCCTGGAGAGCCCAGCGCCAGGGCCGCCCACCGGTGTGTGCACCTGCCCTGGCACCCAGCTGGACAGGACAGGAGCCGCGGGTGCGGGGATGGCGTCAGCTCAGGGCCGCACCGGGAGGTGGGGTGGGGAAAGGCAGGCCTCTGGGGTGTAAGCAAGCCCCCTGCTCAACCACTGAGCCGCCCGCTCCCGGCGGAACCCCGCCTTGCGGGTGGGAGTGAAGGGGGTCACCGGGCCCCTCAGGGCTCAGGAGCCAGGGTTCTTGGGGGCCCAGCCTAGCCAGGGCCCCGGGTCCAGGGGCGCCCGGGCGGCCGCACTGTGGGCCCGGAGTCATTGGGCAAGCTGATGGGGTGTCCCTGCAGGCCCGGCCGCTTGGGGTGAAATTCAGGCTCTAGCATCGAGGGCCTGTGTCACTTCACTTTCTTTTTAAATTTATTTTACTGTTTTTTATTATTTTTATTGATGTCGGAGAGGGAGAGAGAGAGGGAAACATCAGTGATGAGTGGGAATCATGGGTCAGCTGCCTCCTGCACGCCCCACACTGGGATGGAGCCCACAGCCCGGGCCTGTGCCCTGGCCGGGAAAGGAACTGTGACCTGGTTCATAGGCCGGGCCCAGCCCCTGCGCCCCGCCGACCGGGCTCAGCAAGTTTCTTAAGTGTTTTTACATCTGTTTCCTCGGCCGCAGAGGGAATGCTGGGGCCGCCCCTGCCAGGGCTGTCGGATGCCCGGCTCAGCCAAGCACACGCCTCGGCCCGGAGTGCCGGGTGGGGGCCGCAGTGGGGCGCCCCAGAGTCCGCTCCCTGAGCCCGTCACACCCGCTCTGCTCCACCTGAGTCCGCGCTCCCATCAGCTTGCAGAAGGAATCCGGGCCCACAGTGCGGCCGCCCCCCGGGGCGCCCCTGGGCCCTGGGCCCTGGCTAGGCTGGGTCCCCGAGACCCAGTGCCCCCTTCACTCCCACCCGCAGGGCAGGGTTCCACCAGGAGCGATGGAGAGGCGGGGGGGGGGGGGGGGGCACTGCCCTCCTCAGAGCCACCATGCCTCAGCCCACCCTCCAGGGGTCTGGACGCGCTTCCCAGGCGGGCCTGGGTCTCCCCATCGCTGGGGGACGCTGGTCTGAACTGGGGTGTCACTCCTCACTCCTTGGGGAGGCGGAACCCTGACCGTGGCCGCAGCCACCCCGCCCCCCAGGTCCACACACTGAACCGGGTGGTCCCAGCCGCCACCTCTGCCTGGGCTCCAGGCTGCTCTGGGCTCAGCGAGGCCCCCCTGACCCTTCACTCCCCTGACCCTCCCCCGAAGCTGACCCTCGCTTTGGCTGTCCGCAGTGCACACCCTTCCTGCCCGCGGCCGGGGCCGTGCTGGAGCTGGTGGACCGGTGCCCCCGACAGCTGCCCCGAGGCCCCTTCCCCGTCATCGTGGTGGAGGGCCTGGACGCCACAGGTGAGCGCTCCCCTGGGCGTGGCCCGGGAGCCGGAGAGAACAGAGCCCCTAGGGTGCCGAGGGGGCCGGGGTGTGGCCCCTGGCGGCCTGGGGTGGAGCTCAGGAGCACGGGTGGCAGTGGGCGCGGCCTGGGTGGGAGGCCAGGGGGTGGGAGATAGGGAGAGCTGGGGTGTTGGGGGGGGGGTGGCCCAGAGAGGGGCTGTGCCGGCGAGGAAGGTGGATTGGTCCTCCCCACGGGGAATTGGCGCCTGCGGAGGTGCGGTCAGGTGCCCAGTGCCCGGAGCCCCCGGCTGGCGGAAGCCGTGGGAGTGAGAGCACCGTGGAGGCCCAGGGCTCAGCCCCAGCGCACGCAGGGGTGCGGCTGGGGGCAGAGGAGAGACCCGGACACGGCAATTACTATAACTATCACTATTACTATTACTTTCTTTAAAGAGAGAGAGGGAGAGGGAGAGGGAGAGGGAGAGGGAGAAACATCACTGAGAGGAAGCCATGGATCGGCTGCCTCCTGCACAGTCCACACTGGGGATGCAGCCCACAACCTGGGCAGGTGCCCGGGCCGGGTACTGAACCGGTGACCTTCATTCCTGGGTCAGCGCTCACCGCTGAGCCACCGGCCCGCCAGGGGACAAGCCGTGCTCGGGGACAGTGGGGTCCCTGCGAGGCGGCTGGAGGCCCTTTCCCGGGCGGCTGGCAGGCGGAGGCGTCAGCAGCGCCGATCCGGCCTCCACGCCGAGCTGGCCCGTCCCTCGTCCACAGAGGGCCGGCTGGGTCCCCTCCCGGTATTCCGACCCCCAAGAGCGGGTGCCAGGTCCGCAAGGGCCTGCCGGCGTCTGGGACGCGAGCCTGCACACTCCCAGGCCAGCCCGGCCGCAGGAGCGAGGTCTGGGCCCCGCGGGGAGGGGCCGCTCTGCTCCCCGGGAGCGCCGCCCGCGGGGGTGACGGGGGGCGCTGAGCCGTGCGTGTGCCCGCAGGCAAAACCACGGTGACCCGGGCGCTGGCCGACGCCCTCGGGGCCGCGCTGCTGCGGTCGCCGCCCGCCGGCCTCAGCCCGTGGCGCCAGGCCTTCGACGAGGAGCCGGACATGGTGCGGAGAGCCTTCTACTCGCTGGGCAACTACATCGCCGCGTCCGAGATCGCCGCGGCGTCCGCCCGCGCCCCCGTGGTGGTGGACAGGTGGGCGAGGGGCGCGCGGCCTCCTGGCGTGTGTGTGTACATGTATGTGTGTGCGTGCGTGTGTGTGCATGCACCTGTGTGTGCGTGCGTGCGTGTGTGTGCATGCACCTGTGTGTGCGTGTGTGCACATGCCTGTGTTTGTTATGGGAACTAGCGTCTGGCGCTCAGAAGGCTGCGTGTGCTGTCCTAAGGCTGGTGGGCACGGAGCGCCCTCCACCGTCCTGCCCAGCAGTGCAGGCATGAGACGCCGCCGCCCGCCCGGGCCCTGCGCTGCCTCGCCGGGACCGTGGCCACCGTCCCCTTCGCCCGTCCGCCACGTCGGTGGTTTGCCGGCTCGTTGGCTGAGTCGGCGGGCGTGTGCCGGCCACCTGCCCGGTGCCCTGCTGTCACGGAACAAGCACATGGTGGCAGCAGAGGGTGATAACACAGCGTGTCCCCAGCACGTATGTGCACGCTGTGCGGCCTCCTGAAGGCATGTTTATGGGGACACGTCTCCCTTCTGAACCTGCACGCTCAGCCGTGAGCGTCTGTGCGCTCCGGGGCCCGCTGGACAGAGCCCGCCGGCCGGAGACGGGTGAGGCCCTGAGGAGACGGGCCCGGCGATGCGACAGCAGACTCACCCTGAGAGCAGTTCCCGCTGAGGAGCCAACTCTGCCGGGGGCCCACCTCATCCTCACTGTGGCGGTGCACTTTACTCTTAAAAATATACGTTTTTATTGATTTCAGAGAAGAAGGGGGGAGACAGAGAGAGAGAGGAGAGAGGAGCATCAGTGAGGAGAGAGAATCATGGATCGGCTGCCTCCTCACACCCCACCCTGGGGATGGAGCCTGCACCCCGCCTGTGCCCGGACCGGGATCGAACTGTGGCCTCCTGGTTCATAGGCCGGTGCTCAGCCCCTGACCACGCCAGGCTGGCTGTTCTTGCCGTCTTATAAATACTTTAGGTGTGAGATGCAGGTTTGCTTACTTACCGGGTGCCCTGCTCGGGGCTGGAGCAGAGCCGTCCGCCTCGATTCCTCCTGCGGACGGGATCTCACACCCCTGGCCCCCAGGTTCTGGCACAGCACGGCCGCCTACGCCATCGCCACCGAGGTGAGCGGGGCCGTGCAGCACCTGCCCCCGGCCCGCCACCCCATCTACCAGTGGCCGAAGGACCTGCTCCGGCCCGACCTGGTGGTGCTGCTCACCGTGAGCCCCGAGGAGCGGAGGGAGCGGATCCGCGGCCGGGGCCTGGAGAGGACCGCCGAGGAGGAGGAGCTGGAGGCCAGCAGCACCTTCCGGCAGAAGTAGGTGTCGCGCCCGGGGAGGGGCGGGGGGCGCGGAGACGCCGGGGAGAGCGTGTGCACGCTGACCTGACGACCTCAGGCTGTGTGACCTCTGGCTCTGTGACCTCTGACCTCTGGCTGTGTGACCTCTGGCTGTGTGACCTCTGGCTCTGTGACCTCTGGCACGCAGACGACCTCTGGCTCTGTGACTTCTGGCTCTGTGACCTCTGGCCTCTGGCTGGTCGGAAACCCTCCGGGCACAGACGCAGAGACCTGTCACTGGCCTGTGACCTGTAATCTCTGAGCCTCTGCTGCTCGGCCTGCACGTGGGGGTGCAGGGGGTCCTCCCAGGGTCACTGGGTGTGGGGGGGAGGCTCGCAGAACCCTCTGTGTGGCGGACAGTGGGGACTCACAATGCTGGCTGCTGACAGCACTCCTACCCCATCAGGTATTTTTAAAAATACCTATTTTTATGGATTTCAGGGGGAGAGGGAGAGAGAGAGGGATGATGATGGTGACGAGGGAGAATCAGGGACCGGCTGCCTCCTCATGCCCCACGCTGGGCATCGAGCCCACAACCCGGGCCCATGCCCTGACCGGGAATCGAACGGTGACTGCCTGGTTCCTAGGTTGGCACTTAACCATTGAGCTACGCAGCCGGGCCCTCTCAGGCACTAAACACAGTGTCTCAAGCATGGCCTGGGCAGAGCTGGCGCCAGGGAGGTGGTGGTGACCCCACGGGGTCTGTACTTCAAGCTGCGGTGGCACAGCAGGTGGCTCAGCAGGAGGGACAGCGGGAGGGACAGCGGGAGGGACGGCGGGAGGGACAGCGGGAGGGACAGCGGGAGGGACAGTGGGAGGGACAGCGGGAGGGTCAGAGGGAGGGACAGCGGGAGGGACAGCGGGAGGGACAGCGGGAGGGACAGTGGGAGGGTCAGAGGGAGGGACAGCGGGTGGCTCAGCGGGAGGGACGGCGGGAGGGACGGCGGGAGGGACGGCGGGAGGGACGGCGGGAGGGACGGCGGGAGGGACGGCGGGAGGGACAGCGGGAGGGACGGCGGGAGGGACGGCGGGAGGGACGGCGGGAGGGACGGCGGGAGGGACGGCGGGAGGGACAGTGGGAGGGACGGCGGGAGGGACGGCGGGTGGCTCAGTGGGAGGGACGGCGGGAGGGTCAGAGGGAGGGACAGTGGGAGGGACAGCGGGAGGGTCAGAGGGAGGGACAGCGGGAGGGACAGAGGGAGGGTCAGAGGGAGGGACAGCGGGAGGGACAGCGGGAGGGACAGCGGGAGGGACAGCGGGAGGGTCAGCGGGAGGGACAGCGGGAGGGACAGCGGGAGGGACGGCGGGAGGGACAGCGGGAGGGACAGAGGGAGGGACAGCGGGTGGCTCAGTGGGAGGGACAGTGGGAGGGTCAGAGGGAGGGACAGCGGGTGGCACGGCGCCGAGTGCCGGAGAGCCGAGCGGAGACCTGTGCCGACCCTGCTCTCTCCCGTCCAGGGTGGAGGCCTGCTACGAGCGGATGGAGGACCCGGGCTGCCACGCGGTGGACGCCAGCCCCTCCCGGGAGCAGGTGCTGCAGGCCGTGCTCGGCCTCGTCCGCGATCGCTGTCCGCAGCTGCCGTGACGGCGCCCGGCCCTGTGGGCACCTCGCAGCTGGGCGGGCGCCCACGTCCCAGTGCGGTGCCACCAGCATCGGGCACAGACCTCCCCGTGTCCCCGCTCATCGCTCTGGCTCCCGGCTGACAGCCCGTTGGGGCGAAGACGGCCACGTTCCCTGAGAGCCACGAGGGTTCCGCCCAGGCCCATGGCCTGTCCTGGGAGCGGATCCCTGAGCCACACACCCCTCCACCCCCCCGCAGGACGAGTCTGCGTGTCCCGGCTCCTGGGAGCCATCTGGTGGGCAGGAGCCCTTCCACAGCTGGTGTCCACCTGTCCCTGTGGCTCACAGCCCTGAGGTCCCGGAGCCGGGCTCACGGCCTCTCTGGGGTTATGGGATCACCTTCTGCTTGTTGGATCCCATCCTCCCCTCGTGGCCTGGCTTTGGGGGCGGGGAGCGTTCTGCCCTGAGCTGGACGTCCCCACGTGGCTGGGCAGCGGCGTGGCCACAGCGCCGTGGCCAGCAGGTTTCCGTGGCCGAGGGCGTGGCTTCACCAACAGCAACGGGGCCAGGAAGCCCCAGGCGCTGGCGTCTGCGGTTCGCCTCCCGCCGGGCACAGGGCCGGGCCGGGGAGGGCTTTCTGGGGAGGCTGTCCCGCACTGAGTGTCAGTGACAGCCCTGACATCGCTTGGGGTCGGTTTGGCTAGAAAACGCTGGCTGAGAGGCGAGGACGCTGAAAGCTCGGAGCCTTGGGTGAGCCGGGGAATATTAGGAGTGACTCGATCAAACATGTGACAGTGATCTTTCTGTGACTTAAGGGGTGAGCAGAACCAGGCGGTCGCCTAGAATCGCTTCCAGTTCTCAGGTGGATAAATGCTTGTCTTGAGACAATCCTCCCGCCCCCACCCCCCAGATAATTACGTTTGAGGCCTTACCAGGTTCATGCTGCGGAATCATAAACTGCAATAATGTTTAGTATTGACGATCTCATCCTATTTTTCTGAAGAACTCTGGATAATGTATACGCCCTGTATCTGTGCTTAGAAATGGAAATGTAATCTCGGCCGAAGACAGTTTTAAAGCTGATACACAGTGTTGGGATCCTTTAAGATGCAACACCGAATCGTGTTCTTGGGGTTCGTGACTTCACGGCCGGGACAGCTAGCGTGCTGCCCGGGGAACCAGCCTCCGAGCCCCCTTCCTGCCCTCACGGGGGCAAATACACCCACGTGTCTCCGGCCTGCGCTGTCCTGCCCCGGCGCCCACCTGCTGGCCCAGCGCCGGCGCCCACGTCCCACGGGGTCCCACGCTCCGACGGGTGATCATCAGCAGGTTCAGAGCACCCCGCGTGGGCCTGTGGCTCCCCGTGGCCTGGGTCCAGCTGAGGTCTGCCTGGCAGCTCCTCATGGCTGATCTGAACTTTAAGAACCATCACGTGGGGAATGGGGAACGAGCTGTTTTTGGTTCCATCCCCGCTTAGGGTTCGGCTCTTCTGGATTTTGTTTCATGAAAATGGAAGCCAGAGGCCTCCCGGCCAGTCCTCCCTGTGCCCACCAGGGGGCGGGAGGGAGCTCACGGGCACCGGTCCGGGAGCTGTGCCCCAGGACGGCAGAGGTTCCTTTATGGGAGGAGGGAGAGCCGGGCGTGTCCAGGCCGAGGCAGTATCTCTGAAGGGGCTGGCTTCCTGCTCCCAGAACCCGAGTCCAGCCTGAGTCGGAGCGTTCCGGAAAGACCTCCGTGAGCATGTCCGTCTGACAGCGTGGGGTGGGCCCGAGCAGCTCGCCCGGGGCGCCCGTCACAGTAGATGTGTGACCACGTGCGGCACCGCCATCGCCCGAGCTCCCCCGCGGTTCCAGAGGGTTCCGGCCGGGGCCTGGCATCCCGGGGCGTCGGGGCTGTGCGTGTCCACGTGCTTGTAAAACCTGGCACCCCCCAAAAAACCACAAACCTCACCCCCGCTCCCCGCCGCCGCTCTGGGCACACGGGCTGCTCCTGCAGAGCCTGGTAAGGCCCTGCCGGTCACCGAGCCCCCTTGGCAGCCCTGGTCACTGAGCCCCGGTCACCGAGCCCCGCGGCCGGTAGCCCGTCAGCTGCAGCGGGCCTTGGCCAGACCCACGGCCGCCTGGAGCGGGGTTCCCTCACGGTCCTGAGCCCTGAGTGTATGGAACAGGATCGGAGCTCAAGGCATGTTTCACGTTCCAATGACCGGGGAGCCCGGTGCCGGTACACACCTGTGACATGCGTGGTCTCCCTAAGCCTGTGAGGGGAGTCGGTCTTTTCCTGCACCTCCCCGGGGGGACACGGGTGCAGGCGTGGACTCTGTCACAGATCAGTGCATGGCGCTGGGAGCCCACCACCCACCTCGCATCCTGGTCAGCTGTGCTCTGACCCCTCCTCCCTCACCCCTCCTCCCTCACCCCTCCCCTCCAGCGACCACAAATGGGTGTTTTACAAACCGGCTCGCTTCAAACCCCGGAAACCTGTGAGACCACCTCCCAGCACGCCCACGGCCGTGCTCCCCCTCCTCCCCCGGGAACCTCATTCCCGCCAGCACTCTGCTGCCCCCTGCAGTCCGGGAGGTGCAGCACCCAGTGCCGTCCCCACCGGTCACTGCTTCGCCCCTCAGGGCCTCCCGCGGCTCCTTCCTGCCCCCCCATCTCCCATCCCATCGCTCCTGGGAGGGCCCTTCCCATGACTCAGCCTCAGCCGCCCCCGCCCGCCCCCCTGCCCTCTGACTCACACACCTGCTCTGTCCACGTGCAGTCCACGCCACGTCTACGTCAGCATCGACACTGTCACGTCCATGTCCTCACCCATATCCGTACCCATTCCCATCCCTATGTCTTCATCCTGTGTCTACAGCCACGGCCATGTCCATCCCTGTGCACCCATGCCTATACCTGTAATTATAGCTGCGTATGTGTGTGTGCGTGTGTGTATGTGTGTGCACACACCAACACCTGCACCGTCATAGCCATGTCCCCACCCATATCCGAACCATCACTATGTCTTCATCCTGTGTCTACAGCCACGTCCACGTCCATCACCCGTGCCTGTGCCTGTGATTATAGCTGCGTGTGTGTGTATGTGTATACGCATGTATATGTGTATGTGTGCACACGCGTGTGTGTGTGTGTATCCTCTGCTCCTGCACCGTGAGGCCCAGCGCCCAGCCCGCGCGGGCGCCCAGCAGCCGTCAGACCTGTGAGTGGAGAGCGACGCCGGCAGACAGGCCGGGGCCAGGCCGCCTCTGACCAGCTCCGTGGGCACCTGGGTGAACCTCAAGCAGGTCCTTTTCCCAGGTCTCCCTCCGGGCGTCCTCCCGCCCCTCCCGCCCGAGGGTTAAGCCGGGTCCTTTTCCCAGGTCTCCCTCCGGGCGTCCTCCCGCCCCTCCCGCCCGAGGGTTAAGCGAGGGGGTGAGAGGGGGCTCTGGTCCTGCCCGAGGCACCCGTCCCGGTCTCTGTCCCTTCTCCCCCTCCGGCTCCCCGGCCGCACCGGCTCCCGGGGATGGGGCGCCCGTTCGAGGTCACACCGGCTCCCGGCTCCTGACACCTGCTGCCTGCAGGGGGGGGGGTGACCGGAGGTCAGAGCCGGACAGGAGCACCAGCAGGTGCGTCTCCCCTGAAAAAACAGGGTTCCCCAGCTCCCCCTCCCCTACCCCCTCCCCCCTCCCCTCCCCTCCCCGCCCCTCCCCGCCCCTCCGCACTCGGCCCGCTGGGCGGCGCTGTGGCTCCATGGCGGCCGGGCTCCGGGGAGGGAAGGGGCGGGCTGGGCACAGGGGCCGCTCCGGTGCGGCCTCCCTGTCTGAGCCCCCCTCCCCCCGTGGACCTGCCGGCGGGAGCCAGCCCCGCACCCCGCACCGGCGCCCGCACCCCGGCCCAGGCCCAGGCCCAGGCGGGCCCGAGCTCGGGGAAGGGGGAGCCGCCCCGCCGCCCTGCACCCGCCGCTCCCGGGCGGGCCGGCAGTGGGAGCAGCCGTCCCCCTGGGAACGGGGAGCCGCCCCACCATCCCGTCCGTCTTCCACGCGGGGGGGGGGTCTCAGGGGGCGGCCTGCACCCCCTTTCCCGGCCGGACCAGCGGGTCGGCAGGTGGACCGGCCTCTCTGCAGCCTCACCCCGGCCTCCCCCGCCAGCTGGGGCTTTGTCCCGAGCCCGGCCCCCCTCCCGCAGCCCGGCCCCCAGCCTCCGCCTCTCCCGGCCCAGGGGCGGCCCTGCCTCCGCCTCCTCCTCCTTTTCCTCCTCCTCCTCCTCCTCTTCCTCCTCCAGCTGGTCAGGGCCTCTTGGGCGGGGAAGAGAGGGGAGGGGAGGGGAGGGGGGAGGAGAGGGATAAAGGGAAAGGAGGAAAGGAGAGGAGGGGGAGGGAAGGGGGAGGAAGGGAGAGAGAGGAGGGGGAGGGGAGGGGGAAGGTGGGAGGAGAGGGATAAAGGGAGAGGAGGAAGGGGGAGAGGGGAGGGGAAGACAAGGGAAGGTAGGGGAAGGGAAGAGGGGGTGGGGAGGGAGAGGAGGAGGGGAGGGGAGGGGAGGGCAGGCGGGAGCGAGCCGGGCAGATGTCCTGGTGAGAAATGTTCGGGACAATCAGGCTGCGGTCCCCGGGGACCCTCCCCGCTGCCGGGCTGCACTGGGGATCCTCCTTGGTCCTTTGGAAGGAAATGTGGCTGCAGGGTCGTCCCCGGGGCCGGTGCACACGGGCTCAGGGAGATGGATGTGACCTCCCCTGGGCTGCGGGTCCGAGGTCACGGCTGCGGCTGGGGCCAGGCCGGAGGAGGCAGGGCCCCACCCTCCGGGCACCTTCCGGGGCCACACGCTGACCCCCAGTGAGCACCGGGTCAGGGCCCCCTCCCCTGCAGAGCTCCCCCGCCCCTGCTGCCTCTCCGGGGAGGAGAGCCTGGCCATTGGGAACCACGGGGCCGCCCCGCCCCGACTTCCTGTGCAGCTGGCACCCCTCCCCAGGCTCAGGCCGCTCCTGCGGGAGGCGGGGCCCTGCGCAGGCGGCTCTTTGGGCCTTGAGCTCAGGAGGACCCGCATTAG